AAGTTTTGCTGACTGACTTCTTCTTCGCATTTGATTATCCGAATATTTGGACAGCTTTAAATTTCTTTATGTGACCAAATTAAAGTCGATAGTAAGTAGAATTTGAATCGGTAGTCTCTCACAAAAGGGATTCACATGAATCACATCCAATTAAACAAATATAGTTGTAATAAATAAATTCACTAAAGTGTGAAAACTTTCTCATTGACCTTTTGAATTGTTGCAATATCCATACATAGGGCCTTATAAAATACAAGTAAACAAATATACTAGGAATTTAGGCCATCTTTATCCATGAACTTTTGAAGGTATCATTAAATATAAAATTATTAAAAACACATTTTCTCTTCTTTTTATTTAACTTTATACCTTCTCTTTCATCATTTTATTCAACTTTTATTAATTTTATACTCTCTTTAAATACAAAATTATTAAAAATACACTCTTTCTCTTTTCAAAAGTATCAACTACCCACTATCTCTATTTGATACTTTTGATACTCTCTCTCCAAAAATACCCANTATCTCTTCTNTTTACTCAAATTTATTAATTTTATATTTCAATACACCCNATTATTTCAACCAAAAACANTCTCTTTCTTCTTTTTACTCAAATTTTAATAATTTTATATTTAATAATACCCACCAAAATTCACCAATAAAGATGCTCAAATTTTAATAATTTTATATTTAATGATACCCACCAAAATTTATTAATTTTATATTTTAATACACCCCATTAGCTCTAGTCGTTACAAAAAAGAATACATTTTCTGCTAACTAAAACAGGAAATATAAAGTCAATTTGGTTGATTCCATGAAACAAGAATTGCCGTCCAAGTCCTGCTATTTCAACCATCCATTCGCTTCGTGAAATTAAATCTAAACCGTTCATTGGAGTTATGGTAAATAGATAATCCACGTGTCGTAATCTTAACGCACTAGAAGCATGCACTTTAGCTCTAGTGGAACCAAAACCCCACGAACGCAAACCACGCGAGATTGAAGGACCAAAAAAGTCAAAGTACTTGAAAACTGCCACGCGTTGTATTGGGCCCACTTATATCTGTAATTGCCGAAGTAACTAATAGAAATCGACTAATCATCAAATGAGAAGAATAAAATCGTAAAATGGATTGATATGGAATAAAAGAGTAGTTGATTTTGCATCGAAAACCAAATTTCTTGAAAATTAAGTTATTTGATTGTTAAATTATCAATGTGTTCGATATTTTCTACTCCCTCTTATTCAAATCATTCTAGATTATTTCACACAAATTAAAAAAACAATCAAATTTTATATTTTACCCTAATTAATACATCTAGGCTGTAGAGACCAATTTCTCTAATAAAGTACACTTAAAAATTGGTTAATTAAACTTTTATTGCTTTTATTTTTTTAAAGTCACTAAAATCATTTTTTAATCTTTTTTTTCCTTGGCTGTTTTTTTTCTAAAATCTCTAAAAACTAATTTTGTTTCTCTCTCTTCACATAACAAATGTTATTTTTTATCTATTACTGTCATTTCTTCTTTCCCAAACAACCAAAAAGTTTTTATGAAACAATATTAAATTTATCAAAAGATTTTTTTTGACTAACTAATTTTTTTTTATTCTTTTGAAATCCATTTTTCTTATAAAAATTTAATTAATTAAACTAAGTCTAAGTATTTCAGAGTTAAATTAAATAAATTACCAATATGGTTAGAGTAATAAATGCCTCGTAATTTTTTTATATATGAATAAATTAAATTATTTATGTGGATCAATATAAATTATTTTGACGAACATCGGATGGTCATGCTGGTATATATAAATAAAATAGTTGTTTGGTTGAGCTTCGTATCTATGTAACAACTATTACTAATTT